GTCTTTAATCTATACTATATAGATTTCATGGGGGGAAACCAGCATTTCACAAATTGTGGGTCCTGACCCAAAAGGGAGTTTCAGGGGGATCGTGGTATTGCCACCCTTACTTCTGCTCTGCCTTCAAACCTGGGTGGCCGGAGAGCTGCGGCTGTGGCCAAGCTCTGAAGACAGCGTGTGTCCCCCGCAGCAGCACAGAAGTGAGGGTGCAATACCACACTGTGCCACCCTTACTTCTGCACTGCTGCTGCTGGCAGCAGCTCTGCCATCAGAGCTGGGCTCCCAGCCAGCAGCCGTTGCTCTCCAGCTGCCCAGCTCTGAAGACAGCACTGCTGCTAGCAGCAGCGCAGAAGTAAGGATAGCAGTACCAGAAACCCTTCTCTTCTCTCCCCCCCCACCCCACCCCCCATAACCTCGTGACCCTTCCCCTGCCCCAGCCACACAACTCCTTTTTGGGTTAGGACCCGTACAATTACAACACTGTGAAATTTTAGATTTAAATAGCTGAAATCATGAAATTTACAATTTTTAAAATCCTGTGACCATGACATTGATCAAAATGGACCGTGAATTTGGTAGGGCCCTACTTAAAAAGATACTGCTGATCTGAAACTGGATTAAGTAGGTAGGAGCAGAGCAGCCTTGTTTATGTATGGGCCTGAATGAAACTTTTCTTCATACTTCCACTTTTCTGTCCCAATAACAAGTAGGTTGTTCAGAGCAGACATTGTTCAAGTCTAAATCATAGGCTTAGTATTCCATAGTACAGTAGATGAGGCTTGTAAAAACTGTGATCTTAAAAACTGTGATCTTAAACCTGAACAGTTTGACTCAAGGCTGAGTGTAAACTTATTTTATGATCATGCTGAAAAGCTAAGAGAGGAAATGATTATATAGTTCATCACTTGCACAGTTCTCTCTCTGGCTGTGGGGTGGGGTGTGTTCATTCTCCTCATCTTTTTTCCACTCTGAGTGCACAAGAGTGTCTCTGCACAGGCCAGGCCATGTGTTTTGGGTTTTTTTTTTAATTTCTGTATATGAAAACACAACACAAAATATTTAATACATTTGTTTAAGGCCCTGATCCTGTAAACTTAAATACATATATAATATATAATGCCTACTTAATTCTATACATGTGAATAACCTACTCAATGTGAATAAGTGTTTGCAGAATTGGGGCCTAAATGTGGAAAGACAGCATCTTGCTGTTTAGCACTTGTATATGCTAAAGTGTAAATATTTCATACACTGTGTATGGTACGTACATTATCCCTTTACTTGTCTGAGCTGCTACCATATTGGTGGGTTTTTCTATCTTAGCTAAGGGCCAAATTTCAGTTTTGGGATAATGCCAAGATTTACTAGGGATGTCCTAAATGGTGAGCTGTCATGGTGTCCCCATGCAGAGATGACTTCCCATTTGGAAGTCTCCCTCTTATGCATCAGGCTTCCTCCTTAACTCCCTTCCACTGAGGTTTCTGTTGCTAATAGACTACTAATTTGTCTGCTCCCACCATAGCATCTTCTCCAGTTGTCTGTACCTAAGCAATTTAGATTGTCAGCCTGTTTGCTTTGGCTCTCATCTGTGGCCACTACTTTCTTATGGGCCTTGCTGATTACAGCTTTGGCATTGACCTCACCTTATGGGGGGAAAAAAGCCTTGTAATCCCTGACTCCCACCAAGGGTCTCAAGAAGGCTTAGGCTCTCGACACCGCCTTTGTTACCTTGCCTCCGAGACCAAAAACTTGTACCATGTCTCCGTGTGAATATTCCAGAATCAGCTTTCAGACGGACCACAGAGTTCTTGTTGAGAATAAGGCTTACTGGGAGGCAGGAAGTGCGGGGGGACCTCTTAGATGGAAGACTCTGTAGCCTTACCAGGAAGGCCACGGATCCTTGAAAGTACAGTGGACAATTGAAAGCATAATGTTTCTCTTTCTAGAGATCAATGAGTGGTCCTTGTCTGACCTCTTTGGCACTGACAGATATCCAGGCCCCAGAGCCAAGTTCTTCCTTAGCTCTGCTGGCCACTTAGTTGATCATGAACCTTTTTTGAAATGCAGAATGAGAGGGTTCACTAACCTTGTCTCAGTGTAGGGAAAATTAATATTTGGATGAATCAGGCAGCCAGTGGAATACATGTTTAGCATTACGGTATAGCCCACTGCAACAGAGAGCAGATAGTTTACATGTAACAGTTTTGCCCTATGTTCTTACAGCTAACCCCTGTTCAAACAACTAAAAATAAATGTGAGATGTGGGACCTTTATAAGCAGTAGCTGATTGTGTGGCTGTTTCTGTAGCTTCTTAAAAATTAAGTATAACCAGGAGGATATCTCGCTATCTGAGTACTTAATCTTTGATATCCTTTCAAACTAGGGAGCTAAAGAACTCTTAATATTCCCCCCACTCATACAGTAATGATGTGCTAGTTGCTACTAAAGCAAGACCTGTAACTTGATGTCAGTTGGAATGCCCTGTATAGGAAGGCAGTAGGATTCAGCTCTGTGGTGGTAGGGAAAATATCCTTTCAACCTCCTTAAAATCTCCGCAAAAATGTACTTTACCCCACAATGTGGCTTTCAGCCAAAAGTGTAAATAATCTAAAGGAACTGCAGCTTTGTATTGTATGTAAGGATTACGAATGTATGCATTCCTCAGAGGGTGTGGGGAGAGATTAGTATATAATGTTATCTGACGTTCCTGTGTTGCAGGGGGTGGGCAAGAAGATTTCTTATTTGGCAGGGGTTAGATCTTCAAATTTTGGTCTTGCCATTTCTAAATAGAGCTTACTTTCAGCTTTCAATGTCTCTTCCCCTCCCCCCGTACCTCTAGTGCACATTGAGTTGGAAAATCCTTCCTTCCCTTTTGACAGGAAAAAGACTTTTTTTTTTTAAGCGTGGAAATTGGGTACTGTCTCATATTTTAAAGCATTCCAGAACTCTGCAAATACTAGAGCTAGGGTGGAAAAGAAGTTTTCGAAAAGTTTAGATTCAGTTGAAAAGAAATCTAGAACCTGCAAAATTCTCTCATGCTTGACTGTTTTTAAACAGTATCATTTTATCTGAACAAACCCTTAAAGGCATTGGGTCATCTAGCAGACCGCTTCTAGGGTTTGGCCACGGCGGATACACAATTGTGCAACTGTTGATTCTTCAATAGGTAAATAACTGGAAAGAAGGAATGGAGAGATTTTTTTCTAATAACTTGTTATTTTAATGACTCTTGGAGCCTATGTAACTCACTGAAAGTGTCTTACGTTTTAACTTGAAGGTGTTCCATTTTGTAATTAAATACATTAAAACTAGTATTGCCAATATTTTACAGTTGACATAAGTGTAGTTTCATATATAAATTATAATTTTCAAGGGCGGTCTCCAGTATCTACATTATTTTTAAGTAGCTGAAAGCTATTTAAACTTGAAACACTGTGCAAAAGGGCAGATATTCCTCTTCCACCTCTTAATCCCAGTCTAAAAATATTTTGAAATGTCACTGGTATACAAGTTCCTCACCTATAGCAACAGAGGGTCCTGTGGCACCTTTAAGACTATCAGAAGTATTGAGTCTGAAGAAGTGAGGTTCTTATCCACGAAAGCTTATGCTCCCAATACTTCTGTTAGCCTTAAAGGTGCCACAGGACCCTCTGTTGCTTTTTACAGATTCAGACTAACACGGCTACCCCTCTGATACTTGTCACCTATAGCAGACTTTTCTGTTCTGTTAGTTTTGGCTTTCTGTAGTGTTGTATTCGTAAAATGATGTGTCCATCTTTTCACCCTAAGGAGGAGGAAAAATACACCAAGCTGTACAATATGTAGCTGGCAAATAAAAATATCCTTGCGTTATTTTAGAAATGCAGATTATACAGGAAGCAAATGGTGGAACAAAGAAGGAAGAGGAGAGCATTACATTCCCTATCCCTCATCTTGTGTAGCAAAACTGTCTGTGGTTTCAAGTTCTTCTCATGGTTTATTACCTCTCCCTTACCGATATTTATGTTGCAACCCTGGGGGTGGAGGGAGGAGTCTTCCTGAGGTGTGCAAAGTGCAGTACTTTTTAGGTGACAGTATTGTTCTATCGTACCTTCAGACAATCCTTTTCTGAGCTGCCACTACTGTGCGGCTCCTTATGATCCTTCCTGCAGGCTTGGTTGCTGTTTTCCTGGTGTGTTTTTTTTTTTTAATTAATAGACATTTTCTTTGTTACTAGTAAAATATCTCTAGTATTCTGCATACAGTACTGACCTTTCTATTTTATACACTTGATCACCTTTCTCCTTTTGCCTTTGGAAAAAACACAATCAGATTTATTATTAAAATATTTGTTCCACAGTGTTCTTAAACCTCCCTTAATGCCTTTTTACATGCTCAGCAGATCAGTTATAAGCATAATAATTGACGTTCATTGGATTAATGCTGATTGGCTTGGAAGAATAATCAACTGCCTTTTACCTTTAAAACCTTATGTTAAATCTAGCTCTAGCATAAAGGGGAGCTGAACATATAATTTTAAACTTCTAAATTTAATTTGGTCATTATGACATTCTTTTAGGATTAAGGGGTGTCTTAAATGCAGCATGCAGTCCTTGCTCACCATGTGCTGTGCTCAAAAGCAATCAACACTAAAATGTTTTCTCATTTAACCAATCCAATTCCAGGCTGAGTAACAAAACCTGTGGAGCAATCTGGATAAGCCAGTGAAGTCAGTGCCCTTAATTAACTTTGTCTATGTGATAACACAAAACTCTAATTGAGGAATACACTAAAATGTAAATAGTCTTTTTATTTTTAAAAGAGAGCGAGAGACTGGAGCCATTGTTAATGCTCATCCTCAGTGAGGTGAAGATGCCTATGATGCCTTTAAGAATTTTTTTTTATTGGAAATAATGCTTAAAAACATGTACAGTACTGGTTCTATGAAATGTACATATAGTTCACACTGGTTGTATGGTTTTTCAATATTTTTTAAATCACTCTACTTATTTTCCCTTTAGCTCAATGTTCGAGTTACCACTATGGATGCGGAGCTGGAGTTTGCCATCCAGCCCAACACTACAGGCAAACAGCTATTTGACCAGGTCAGTTGTGCATGTGTGTGAAACCATTGTAGATTGTAAGCTCTTCTTCACGTCATGAACCGTTTCTCTTCCGACTTTGTACAGGGCATATCAGAATGGGGTATTCTAAAGCCTGACTGTTGCCTTTGAACTTGGCCACAATAAATAAGCAAAGATCCTTAAAAATAATAATAATAATTGGCCGCTTTTTTTATGTTAGAGATAACTTACAAATAAATGGTATGTCTATCAAATATCCACTAGTGCATTCACCCAGCCTTTACTGCTCTTGATATTTGCCTTATTCTCTCCAGCAGAGACGCTCATGGGTTGTCCTCTCAGTATGGTGAACACAATAAACACATTTACGAACATAATCTCCCCCATAATGAGCCTCTGCTAGAACTCAGTGCACCTTCTGTGAGGTTGCAGTATCTTACGAAATTACTCAGTCATTTAATAATTATTAATCTCACTCTGAGACTTTAAATATTGGGCATCTGTCCCTGCTAGGGGATTACAAAGGGAAGGAGACAATAACAGCCTGGAATCAAGGGGCAATGGTAATGACTTTAATGGCTTATATTCCAAAGGGTATGAGAGAGGCTGATTAGTATCCCTGGGGCCCACGTTTCTCTAGTGAAGCCCATTTCCAAGTGATTATGAATCTTTCCCTTTATATTGAGTTTCATTCTCTGGGTGCCAGAGGTATAGTAGAGCGTCCTGTAAAGGTTTCACTGTGCCACCTTGCTAGTTTCTTCCATTGCTGATGTGCTGTCCTGTGAAGAATGAGCTGTTTAAAACCCTTTCATGTGGGTAATGTCTTACCTTAAGCTGATGATATGTCTTGTCTAGATTAGTGACTTTTGTCTTTCTACTGATGTAGAGGGACATACTGTAGAATGAGCCCTGAGCTACAGTACACTGTTAGATCAACATAGGGCAGCTTATGTCGACCTAACTCTATCATTGTACACACTACAGTCTTACTCCCTCCAATAAAACTGCTCCACTACACCAACATAATAGGGCCTTGTCTACACCACAAAGTTTTGTCAGCAAAAGTTATTCCGCTTTAATTTAAAGCGCTTTAATTAAAACCGCTGTTGCACGTCCACACTAGCTCCTTGTGTCGGCAGAGGGCATCCACGCTAGCAGCTCTTGCATCGACACAGAGCAGTGCACTGTGGGTAGCTATCCCACTGTGCAACTGGCTGCAGGGTGCTTTGGGGAGGGTTTGCAATGCCTCATGGGGCACATATAGCATCACGTGATGCAGGTTTCTCCAGGGACATCCTACTAGGTTGAAAAAGCAGCTGAGGACTGAAGTGTGTGTGTGTGTGTGGTGGTGTGGGGGGGGGAGAGAGAGGTGTGTCTGGGGCGGGGAAGACAGCAGGCTGAAAGACCTATCCTGAGGCAGGGGGAGGGGGACACTCCCCCCACATCAGGCCCTGGTGTCCTCTTCTCCCCCCCCCCCCCCAAGTGCAGGGCAGAATAGGGGCATTCCACGTTAATAACTGACGCCTCAAATTTTCTGTATCGTTTATTTTTTAAATATTCTCTAATAAAATTTAAATTTGCTCTTTGTTCTCCAAATGGAGCAGCATGCTCAGCTGTCAGATACTTCAGGTAGCTTTGAAAGGGGAGGGGCGCATGCCTGCAGGGCAGCAGAGATCCAAACAGTGAGCAGAGCAGTTACAGCAGGCATTGTGGGATACTGGTGGAAGCCACTTATGTGGACAAAACAAACAGCAGTGTCTACTCTGATGCTTTGTCACTTTGACTTTGCTGCAAAAAGCTTTATGCCTCTCATTGAGGTGGTTTTATTTTGTTGGCAAAACAGCAGAGTTTTGCCACCAAAAGTAGCTTTGCAGTGTGTACATCTCCCCTGTTTGTCAGCAAAAGGCCGCTTTTGCTAACAAAACTTTATAGTGTAGACAAGGCCTAACTCTACCTCCACCAGAGGCGTAGGGCTTATATTGGTATAATTAGGGCGACATTGTCCATGTAGATGCTGCTTTACTTATGTCAGCTGTTGGCTGTCATTCTTGTCAATTTCATGGCTCCAGGCTAGAGCTGTGAAATTGACAAGAAAATCCTCTTCCTGCGGAGCCAGGCTGCCTACGGGGTCCTGGCTCCACGCTCCCCACACGGTCCCTCTTAAGTCGGTGGAATGTGCACCACTGACAGAAGGAGGGTAGTGTGGATATGAACTCCGCAGTAATTACTGCAGTGGCTGTAAGTCGACCTAATATAGGTGTACACGACAATATGAGGGTTGTGTATTAAGGGCAAATTCTTTTAATAACTGAATATACAGTAGAACATCAGTTACGAACACCAGAGTTACAAACTGACCAGTCAATCACATTAGCTCATTTGGAACCGAAAGTAGGCAATCAGGCAGCAGGAGAGATGGAAATAAGAAAAGCAAGTACAATACGTTGTTAAACGTAAACTACTAAAAAAAAAAAGGGAAAGTTTAAAAGAAAATAGATTTCACAAGGTAAGGAAACTGTTTTTGTGCTTGTTTCATTTAAATTAAGATGGATAAACGCAGCATTTTTCTTCTGCACAGTAAAGTTGTATTAAGTCAATGTTCGGTTGTAAACTTTTGAAAGATCCACCATAACCTTTTGTTCAGAGTTACGAATACTTCAGAGTTACAACATCCATTCCCAATGTGTTTGTAACTCTGAGGTTCTACTCTTTATATCAGGGGTCCCCAACGTGGTGCCCATGGGCACCATGGCGTCTAAGTGCACCCGCGTACTGGCCGGTGGATGAGTATTCGCCGAAATGCCCCCGATTTTTGGCAGCGACACCTCTGGATGACGCTGCTTGTCGGCGGCATTTCGGTGGATGCTCGTCCGCTGCCACAGTCCTCCGTGGCTCGTTGTCTGGCACCCGCTAGACGAAAAAGATTGGGGACCACTGATTTATATAAATATGATGAACACACTTACTTCCATCAGGTATCTTTTTAAATATCTGGGTTAAAATATTGCACACATGAATTGCTGTAACACCTTGGACTTCTACAATAACACGTCTTGATTCAAGTCTTAAGGCAATTGCCAAAGGTAGGTATTATCCCCATTCTGTACAGATGGGGAAGCAAGGAGGAAACTGAGGAACAGATGTTGTGAGTTGGCTGCAGAGTAACAGGACCCCAGAAGAGTCAGGCATTTTGCATATTAAGTGTAACTGCTTTTTATAGGGCACATCCACCTTGTGCATTAGGACAAAGCAAAGAGGCTGACCACTGGTGTCAGTGGGTTCTTCAAAACACACGAGTCTTATAGGCACTGAAGAACATGGGCAGCCAAACTCTCCTCTTGCTGTTGCTCCGAGGATATGTTTAAAAGAAACAGCATGAGCTCATCTCTGATGTCACTAGTGGGAGGTGGGGCCACTATGGCTCAGAACAAGAACGAGGCAGTGATTGGATTGAGGCAAGTGGCATTTTTTGTAAACCTTTTTATACCTTCTTTTTGTGCCTGTAACAAATACCCAAGAGTTTTTATTGATTGGGTAGAACAGAAATAGGCCAAGAATGGCCTAATTTATCCTAGGCTTGCTTTTCACAAAGACTTAGCTGTACTTCTATATATATTAGAGAGATTCACAGCTCTGGCTTGAAAGAGAACTTGTTTGTAATCATAAAGACTCCTGTATGCCAACAGAGCATTAATATTGCCTGGAAAGAGAGACTAAAACTGTACACAAAAATGGCAAGATGAGCTTAACGTCTCTTACAAAATGTTGAATGAGTTGGGTCAAACAGTTTTTCTTTGCTCCTCTACTGGTCCTTTTAACAAAAGGCTGTGTAGTCTGTCTTTCAGCTCAAGTAGGCAGAACTGGCTGAATAGCATGCATTCTTTATACAAATTTTGTCAACACGCTTTGAATGACATTTCAGACAAGAGTTGGCCAGAGCCAACTCAGTCTTGTGGGAACTGTGCGGATTCCTTTTTTTATAGAAAAGATAGTCCGAGTAGCTTTTGTTTTGGTCTGACTTGCAATCACTGCTGTACTTGAAAGCTAACTTGCAATATCACATTTTATTGTAAGAATGACGCAATTTTAATTTCTTTTGATCACTACAGACCTGGGCTAGATTTGAAATCTATAGACTGTTTGCCAAATCTCCAATAAAATGACTTTAATTAAAGCAGCATTTAGTTGTATGACCTAGCTACAGTAGCTACCTGTAGATCTGGCTTGACTTGCTACGCAGAGAATAGAGGAGGGTTGCAGTAGGAAGGGGGAGAATATATTTACTTCAATCTTTCAGGGTATAACTTTCAGAAGTTCCAAAGGCTCCCTTTCAAAAATGATTTAGGAACTATTGAAAAATCTTATCCCCAATCTTTAGTGTTGCCTGCTATAGATGCAAGTCAAATATTTCAGGCAGAAGTGATTGTTTTAAGATGCTTCTTCAAATATCTAACTCTATTTCTATGGTTATACCATCTTGAAATACAATCAAGCGGAGTGGTGGTATACTAAATATAGCTAGCTTTTGCATAAATGGCAGAAAAGTCTCAAGATTTCTTAACTACAGGTGAACTTTGATGTGAAAAATAAGCTTAAAACAAGTTTAAAAAATAACAGGAGTGGCAAAGTAGTGTTGGCTACTACCGCTTACAATGACTTACCGCGTCTACCAAGATTCCTAGGAGTACCTTTCTCTCCCACCCTTGCCCACTGTTCTTTTTAACAGTCTTCCATATGATTGGGATGAAATATCCATGAAATAGTATGCTGGGACAGAAAACTCTTTAATCTGACATGGTCTTCCAGTGTCCGTTGCTGGAAAGGTAACAAGGTCTTGCAAATCTCACACTGAAATGACAAGATCTCATTTAATTTCCCTCAAGACTTTGTTCTATATTGGGGGAAATACTGAGAGGGCTGGGGAGGTCCACGTGTCTATGGAGAATGTATGTTGATGTAATCCAAAGCAGACATACTTATTTTTAAAGTCTCATTTATCCCATCATGATATTCTGTTCCAG